GTGTTCAGAAGTACCCCTAGGAACTGAAGGACCAAGTCTGAACGTTTCTTCCCTCCTCTTACACCACTTCTGTTGCGTCAGAAATGGAGTTTACGTATTTGCTTGTTTATCTTTATGTAGAAATAGCTCCTTCTCGGTGGTAACATTTTCCATGCCTTTACGCAAGCCAAAAATGAAGATTTTTTTGTTTTCACTTGTGCCACATCCCTTCTGTTTACTGTTCTGAGTTTATTTTTGGTGGAATAAGCTGACATGTTAATGTTAGAGACAGAAGGCCCCTGTCTCCAAAAGATACAAGAATGGCAATCTGCTCCTGATCGAGAATTACTGTACTGCTATTTTTCTGTGGATGCAGGCCCTGCGGACACATCCCCGCTAGCTTTACATCGGTGTCATGTCTATAACCGAACTAGTCCGCGTGCAGGTTGGAGCCCCTTCCCTATCAAGAATCTCGGTAACAGTGTTTTGCATCTCTAGGTTTTTATCAGGATAGTTCATGGAAGGGACCTTAAAGATCATTTGGTTCCCACTCCCCTGCCATGGGCAGGGACACCTCCCACTAGACCAGGTTGCTCAAAGCCCCATCCAGCCTGGCTTTGAACACCTCCAGGGATGGGGCATCCACAACTTCTCTGGGCAGATGTCTTGATATCAATAGCACATGCTTTGCTTTCTTTTCTTTTCTTCTCCTTGCATTGAGAGCAGACCTTAATACTCCTAAAGTGCTTTCAGAAGATCTGTTAGATAAGTTTAAGCTGGTGCTAGGTTGGTGTTTAAAGCTAATGCCCTGGCAGTACAAGGTCCTGTCTTGCTCTAATGTGCGTAACTTGTAATGGCATTTGGGCAGGAACACATAACAGCTCATTGGAAATGGGGGTGTCATCTCTACGTTCCCCATTTGGGGTTATTGGGTATAGACCTCACACAGACCTAAGCGCTGCCCGAAGGTCATGTAGCCCACATGCAGGAATCGTACCAGCTGATCCAAGTTTCCTGTGGCCATCCTGAAATACACCTAAGCCCGCATCCGAAAGCCCTGTGTGTTTACCCAGATGTACTTTTCTGTAGGTGTGTTGCCAGTTTCCAAAGTTTGGTGCTTTTCCTGGCTGTTCTCCTGGTCCTGTTTGGGATGTGCTATATTGCAGGTTACCTCCGGGGGGAGCAAGGTAGTCGATTGGAGATGGGCAAAGCTTCAAGTGTGAAATTTAGAAGTGTTGAAACGTTTTCCTTTGATATATTTAGGAGAGCTCTCCAGAGAGGGAGAATGAGTGTGCAAGTAACTTTACTCTCCCTTAAAGTGGAAGCAATGAGGTGGCGGTGAAAGAGATGGGGGAAGGAAACAGGGTATGGCAGGAGAGTAAGGAACTCTTCAAAATTTGTTACATATATGCGTTAGGTTAGTTTGGTTTGTATTGCCTTGGTAATTTAGGTTTCTAAATGCCCCTAACTTGCCATATGGTAATGTCAAGTGCTTTGGTACCTCGCAGTGCTGGGAACTGTATGGGCAGAGAACAAAAAGATGGTTGTCCCAAGGAGTTAAAACGCGCAAGCCACAACAGAGAAATGTAGCCAGCTGGAAGGAGTACACAGAAAAGAGATCGCAGCCAGTAGCCTAACTGCTGTCAGGCTGTTGCACAGCTGGAGTGGCAAAGTGGGAGAATGGAGAAAATCGAGGTGAATATGAAATAGCTTTCTGGCTGTTGGAAGGTTTTTTTTTCGTCAGGCATGAGAGGAAGCAGGAAGGCGTGTGTTGTGGCATTGCCGTGGGCTGTGATGGAGGTAGGTGTCCAAGAAACAAATACCAAAACACGTTCACTGTGTCAGGTAAGAGGGAAGCTGCTTAACCGGCGTGCTCGATCTGTAGCTTGTCAAGGCAGCGTGTTTGCCGTGATGTGGTCCCAGGCACCACCTTTGCTGGAAGCCTGTTCTAATGATGTGCTGGGCTTGTGTCCCCTTGCACGGTGGGGAAGAGGCATCTTGGAAACAAGGCTAATTAAGAGAGTTGCTGTAGCCTGTTCTCATGATGCTCTTTTTAACAAGGCAAAAGAGGAGCTGGCAGACTCTGAGCTGGTGGTAGTGAATGAGCTGAAATCCACTCAGCTGGTTAAGGCTCCAATCATCCGTTCTATTATCTGTTTCTGAAATATAGTACAGAATTGCTCTTACAGCTTCAGCTTCTTGCATACAGTAGTCTTTCATAATAGCTTCCTGCACTGGTTGTACCTGTCGCTGTGGCAATGGTGTATGGGACTTCAGGAGATTAGAAGGGATAATTTGGAAGGTATTTGTTAATTTTGCAGATTCAGGAGTACAGTGTTTCTTCGTGTTTCACTAGCAAGGAGAACGAACTGCAAGCTGATGCTTATAACCAAGAAAAAGTATCAGCTGATTAAAAAGCTGTCCTCAGGGAAAACCCTGAAGAACAGGGGGTTGCTCATGGGTGAGGTGGATTGGGGTTTGGGGGAGAAGTGGAGCCCTGGTTAAGAAAGTTCGTATGTTTTCTTTCAGAACACAGGGCTGGAAAGAGTTATTTATTTCAATGACTGTGTGAATTAAAGGGGATTAGGTGAAGAATGATGCATAATCATGTAATTAATGACAGTTGATGTATAATCACAAGGGGGCAGTGTTAAGGTTACATATACAACTTGAACTTGTAAGTGTCCTTGCTTCTGAATACGTAACCCTTGTCACGTCAAAATGCTTGTTGATCACTTTTTGCTGTTTCAGCTCCTTTTAAAACGAGTGCAGAAGAGCAGAGGAATTCACTTTCAGATCTTCAGTTCTGCTGATGTTACCAGCTCTGCATTTGGGTCTGTGCTGTTGGTGTGGTTTTGATTAGCTGGAGCACGGAGCTCCGGAACCTGTCCCTCCTGCCACTGGTGTTGTGCAGCAGAGATCCTCTCCTTCATGAACTTTAGGAAGGGCTTAGCAGCTTCCTCTCTTGCATAGCTCCCAAAGTGCACTGGGATGTGCGGGATCGCAGCTGGCTGGACTTTATTTAGAGCTAGGTTAACCACAGGTGCATCTGCTCTGATTTCATTTTAGATGTGCCCTTTGTGAGCTTAGGGGAAGCACTCTCAGCACTGTGAGTCGTTTCAGAAGTCGCTTGGGTAGAAACGCCTTTCTTCTCAAAGCAATAAAAACCTTGCTACTTTGCGACATCTCCATCCGGTCTTCATGTCTCCAAATTTTTAGATATAGTATAGATATGTGTGTGTACGCTTTGAAACTCAAAACTTAACAGTTATAGTTCCTGTACTGATCAGGACTGGAAAGGAATTACCCTTCAGTATGTGCAGTTATGGAAAGCTCAGTAACTTAGAGCAGGGGTATTTTGAAAACAGAACACAGAACACTGGAAAGAATGAAGAAAAGCCAAGTTTGGCAATTATTTTGTAAATTAAAACATAACAGTTGTGCAACTCCCTCTATAATAAGATAATATCTGCTTAAACAAACCTGGATATTTCCCAGGATTTGTATTTGTTCTCTTTCTCCTGTGGAAGAAAGCAGAAATGAAGTGGAATGTGATGTAAGTAACATTAGAGTGCCACACACTGCTGGTGCAAGTATGTGGTTTGGAAAAGCATATGCTGGAGGGGCCATTTGCACACCTTAATGTGCATGTGGAAATGGTTTGCTCCTGGTCTTCTGCTTTTACTGAGTGCTGTTCCCCGGTTTGTTCTGTGGCTTTAGGTGAAGCAAGGCTGGGGCAGTTCATCTCCAGATGTATGTTCTCTTTCGTGTTCTGCTGTGACCTGTCAGTAAATGACAGACATGTCCTTCCCTGCTGTGGCTGTGGATCATTTGCCTTTCTGAAGTCTTTCCATCTGCTGATTTTAAAGACCTGCGTAAGAGCGACGTCTTGCGCTTTTACTGAAAGGGAGGGTATCCCAAAAACTATTAGGAGGTAATATTATGCTCTTCCCCTTGATAACCATGTCTTTACTACAACTGCATCAGAAGCAGCTCTTCTAGTGGATAGAACCAATGGCTGCCTGCTTGTGATCTTGGTTTAAGTGGATTATGTTCCTCCAATCCAGAGGTCACATTAGAGTCTGCTTACAACCAAATTGAAAATGATAGCTGCTTTAGATCTTAGACCTTCAAGAATTTGTTCCATTGAAAGAAAATAGTTTTTCATCCAGGAAATGACCAGGGGTCGTGCTGCTTTGAAATCTTGCGTATCATTGTGTTGTGGGTGTGTTTTCATGGGTCAACTGGCTTTTAAAAGCCAATCAGGTTAAATTCACATCATATAGAAAACAATGCTAAGTTAGTAGACTTGATCACAGGCTGGCTAAGCGTACCATGCCATGTGATGTTTGCTTAAAGCATCACTTTCGTGCTCTTCTTTCTAGCAAGGAGAGCTTTCAGTGCATATGCTTCCAATGGAGGTACTTTGCGCTGAGTGTGGTTTTCAAAATGGCAGTGGGAGAGGTGGACGTGGCTTGCTGGAGGAACAGGGATGCTCTTCTTTCCCTCTTGCTGCACAGTGATGTTTTTGGTGCACGTTCTTGTTGCCTGCTGCTGCTTGTTCTGCTGCCTTCCAGATGAAACCATGAGACTAAGACTCTGGCTTTTCAGGACAAGGCAGAATAGCCAGTGCTTTTGTGGAGAGTAGAGCTGTTAACTGAAGTGTGCCCGTTGTCTTCCAGTATGGATGATTTAGGTATTTCCTTCTGATCTCAGGTGAATGCCATATTCATCTTGTTCTTAAATATTTTTATTGCAGAAGGGTGGTGACAATGGCAGCGGCAGTGTTCCATGGTCTCGGGGAGGCTGTGTTGTGAGTGCTAGAGAGGTTCCTGAGTACCACATGATTTGTTGTATCACGAGGGGTGGCAGTGGCAGACTTCTGCAGGTCCTGTTCGTAAAGCACGTGAGCAGCCTGGTGAAAGGCATGTGAGAGATGCAAAGTACTGTTACTGTTATTCTCCACAGTCCTTTCAGCTGGGTTCAATTGCTTTTTGGTTCTCTTCCTTGACAGGTCTTGGCTTGTGGGCAGCTCTCTAGCAATCCCAACTGGAACCTCACACCAAAAGGCACCATGATAGTGATGACTGACGTCACTGCAGCCCCCAGATTGGGGTCAACTGCCACCACTCCAGCTGTGGCTCCCAACTTCTCCTGGATGCCAGAGGATGGCAGCCCCACAGCTGTGGAGCAGCCAATATTCCTCATGACCACCGCTGCTCAGGCCATCTCAGGTTTTTTTGTATGGACAGCTTTGCTCATCACCTGCCATCAGGTAAAACCCCGTCATTCATACTTCTCATCTTTTTCTTTTACGCTTATGGAGGAACAAATGATACCTTAGCCCATATCTGCCAGATACAGCTGTGTGATGGGGGTTTGCAGACTCTGGAGTGGTACCAGGATCTCTTCTTTAGGGTCTAATATATTATCTGTGCTGATCAAGATGACAACTTCTATATGAAGGCCTTTTTCTGCCCAGGTTCAGACCGTTTCCATAGTGCAAATGGAGAGGAAGCAAACTCTTTAGCAGGTGTAAAATATTTGGCCATCTCTTGAGTGTTTGCAGAAAGGTGTGTTATCTCAAGCCATCCTTTCCCAGGTCTTGTAGCTGAATCTAGCCCTTTTGTTATTGTGTCAGCTGTTAGCTAAATGATTGTGGTCATCTGTTGTTTGACATACCTCCTTTGATCTCCTGTGCCAGTGGATTCCACAGGCTGAGCTCCGCTGCGGAAAGGAGTAGCAGGAAATGTTTTATTTTAATTTTTCTCCCCTCCCCTCTTTCTGAGGCAGGTGTCCTGGGGGCCAGAACAAGTCAAACCCTGCATCCTGTTCTCTACCTCTTTCACGCAGTTGTCATGTGAACTGAAAAACACAGTGGGGAAACGCAAGCCCTGTTATTTATCAACCTGTATTTTGTACCTGTTGGTCCGTAGATTCCAGAGTGATGACTAGGATCTAGAAAACTACAGCCTATTGATGGAGTACAGGGCCTAGTGAAGTACAAAAACGGATTAGTCACTGATGAGTAAGGGTAACACCTGCAGTTTCACCAGCTTGGGTAACAATTACAAGTGCCATGGATCCTCCTGTTTCAGAGCACAAATTGATTGCCTGCTGAAGGTAGAAAGAAATCTTTCCTCTGCAGTATAGCATTGCACGCTTAGGCATTAATGCCCTTCTCCGAAAAAACCAACGGAGGTCAGTGCCAGAGACACAGTGTTGATTGAAACGTGCTTGTTGTCCTGTTACAAGGCAGCAGTTCCTGTGCTGTCGTAGGCGCATGGATCGCAGGGCTCTTGTGACATCCCAAGGGCAAAGCTTAGAGTCATCTGAACTCTAGTGTCAGCTGTTCCTGTGCAGGGTGAGGTGTGTCACTGGGATTGTCACAAGGAAAAAATATCTCCAAAGTTTGTTAGTTTATTTTCAGCCTCCTCAGGAAATGAGGCTTTTGTAAGCTCCTCATGGGATAGGGAGAGAAAACAAGTATTTTGAGTCCTTCAGTCGATTTTGGCCAGATCTGGCCCAGAGGCCAGGACAGATCAGCAACAGACAGCTGTGGAGAGACAACCCCCTCTCCCCTACGAGGGAAAGACAAGAGCATCGATGTGTGCTTTTTTAGACCTTGAAGAATCCTCACAGCACCCCCAAGTGCAGGGTGAAACTTCAGACAAATGCTTGTGCCTCTTCAGGCAGCAAAATCACTCAGTTGTGAGGCACGTATGTAATAAAGTAGGTCTTATTAATCCCAGCAGTTGGGGCAGCAGCTTGATGAGGGTTGCCGTACGGAGGCCTTGCCTCTGGAGAATGTGCCCTCTGCTGACTCCATGGCTGACAGCGTGTATCCGCAACTCATGCTGAAGCTCTGGCTATATTATTAGGCCATTGCAGAAGTGGTGTTCATCTTCAGAGTAGGCTTGTGGTCAATACCTTTCCCAGGAGGTGGGTATTGTGTGAAAAAGCTTTTTAGGTGTGGGATTTAATGATGGCTAACAAACTGCGAGCGGTGGGAGTGGATAGGGTGGGGACATTGCAGTCCCCTCAACCAGTGACTTAGGATGTGTGCAGACAGTCAGACAAAACAAGCGGTGTGGCTGCGTGGTTCCTTTGAGCGTGGTGCATGAGCTCAGTGCTCACTTGATGGCTGATGCTTGGTGGCTGTGCTGTCACCAGGGTGCAGAATGGCACTTTTTGAGCAGACAGGCTGTGGCTTATCAGCTCTTGGCAGTGCTGTGAAAGGCTCTCTTGGGTTGTTTCAGGAAAAAGTCTTGTAAGCATCCAAAATTGCCAAGAGTGAGAGTGTTTACAATGAGTGTGTGCTTAAGTGTATGCTCCTTCCCTCTTTGGAGAAAAGTGTTATTGTGAATCTTAGGTACTTAAAATGAAACAGCAGCAATATAGGATTGATAATTAGAAGAAAAAGTCTGAACAAAATATGGGCAAGGTGGTGATGATAATAACAGTAAATCAAGTCCCTTGATTTCTGCCTTCCACTTACTTTTCCTCCTCCTTCCCACTCTCTGCAAACTAAGGGACATCATAGCAATGCCATGTGATAACAGTGATTTTTTTTGTTTTTTAGTGTTCATCACCTTGAGTTTTGTGGAGGCAATCAAGAGATGGTTTACTGAGTTTGTTTTTCCTAGTAGTCCAGTTGACACTCCAGTTCCACTTTCTCCTCTCTGTTGCATATGCCGCTGATCCTGGTCTCCCCTTTCCATCCTCTCAGATCTACATGCATCTTCGCTGCTATAGCTGCCCAAATGAACAGCGCTACATTGTTCGGATCCTCTTCATTGTACCCATTTACGCCTTTGACTCATGGCTCAGTCTCCTGTTCTTCACCAATGACCAGTACTATGTTTACTTTGGCACAGTGCGGGACTGCTATGAAGGTAAGGAGGGGTCAGACAAAAAATGTGGGAGGTGGGAAGTCTCTGCCCTGAGAGGACTTCTGCTTTTGGTTGGGAGCATGGAGAAAGCATCACTGTCACCTACTGAGACAGAATTTTACAGCGTGCCTCACTGGGTGACCATGGCTCGCTCAGTGACTGAAAATCACAGAATCATAAATCACAGAATCATAGGATGGTTTGGGTTGGGAAGGACCTTTAAACATCATCTAGTGCAGTGCCCCTGCCATAGGCTGGGACATCTTTTCACTGTCAGGTTGCTTAAAGCCCTGCCCAACCTGAACTTCTCCATCATTGGCCTCTAAGCATGACAAGATGCGTTGAGCCTTTCGTCCAATGTTCTATAGAGACAAAGTTTATTATTTTCTTGGGTCCTTTGCTTCAGGAAGGTGTAAAGCCAAAAATCTGATTCTAGCTGGGTGTTTAAAGTGAGGTATCGGTTGGCTCCCAGTTCTTGGAACAGCACTTACTTAGCAGCCAGACACTTACTTTGTCCTGTTTTCCTGGCACAGTTTGTTAGCGATGTATTCTTCTGATCCCATCACTTGTGTGATCACACAGGGTAGCACAGCCGCCGCGTGCTGGTGTTGGTGAGGTGTAAAGTGCTTTGGAGTCCTGCAGGAGATAGGGTGCCATATTCAGGATGAGTTACCAATTGCATCATTTTCGGTTATCTGCTGCAGATGGTACCACTAGCATTTTATGCGAAGGAAGCAGTTACTTTCCAGTAAATGCTATCTAAACTTCCCTCCTGGTGGCATCCAGAAAGGAGCCTCCTACCCATCCAGCAGGAGAAACTGCGCTCTAGCAGTATATTTTTGAGGACAGTGTATTGCCATACCCTCATTAAGTCATAACTCGCTGGTGCAGTTGTTTTGGTGAGATCTGCATTGCAGAGAGGTGCCCCTGGCCATGTGAACAAGTTAATCGGCTGAAGGGACCAGCAGGCCCTTCTTCGCATCCAATGGCAATGCTCTGAGATGCAGCAGCAGATGGCAAACGTGCGCACGTGATTCAGAAGGCACCTTTGTTTGGGCCTGGGTGGTTGTTTTTTTTTTTTTTTTTCTTCCCTCCTTCCCCACCCTGCATGCGTGTGTAGGTCTAGCAGGAAGCCTGCTGCTCTGCGAAACTCCTCTCCTAGCAACAGCCAGTATCCCTCTGCCTCGCTTGCTCGGGGAGTTTGCAAACATCCGAGCATCTGCTCAGGATGCAGCCCATGCTTCGGGGTTCACCTCAGCACGTTGGGCTGTGGGAAAAGACTACATGTGCAAGTGAAAGCACCTTCGGTCAGCAGGTTCTCTCCCTCACTTTTTCTGGGGATTGCTTTGAAACAGCCTTTTTGTTATCTGCCTTCCCTTGCCATCCACCTTATAATTTCATTTTTGGGAAGGTATTAGGTTGTGAAATGGGGGGAGATCTGCTAGGGAACAGGGGGAGAAGAGCCTGTTAACAAATTTTGGAAACTGTCTTTGGCCACTTATGGGCTGCATTTCATAGTGTACTATTAGGATGAACATATTTTGGTGTTCCTCTTTCACGTGACTCTGCTTCTGTACAAACCTGGGTGGCAGTAACGCTGACACAAGTAGATTTTTTTTTTTGTTTGTTTGTTATTGATGTCATGAGCACCAACTGAAGAATGTGGATCAATGTGGATCAGGAATGGGAGAAGAGTTCTTTTGCTGGTGTGGTGAGCTTTGATAGTTAGCACTTGTTTCTTTCGGGGATGAAGGGTCAGATATTTCCCCCTTTTTTTTTTTTCCTTTTTTCTGTCTTCTTCTGATGTCATCTCTTCCCTAGTGCTTGTGAAATGGGCAGCTGGTATTGTAATGACCACATCAGAGGGCAGGGGTCACTGGAGGACAATAGGAAAAGCTCAGGTTTTCTTCCTCTGGGTGCTGGGAGCTTTCAGCTAAGTTGCAGGAAAATTGCAGGCAAAAGGGGTTATTTAAATAAGTTTTCCATGGTTGGTGTTTTCTCTTCTAATTAAAGCTTTAGCAAAATCATTGCTGTGTGAACATACCTAACATTGTTCAACAAGAAGGATTACAGATGGAATAACAATATCCCAATTACACACATAGAAGCAGGTATACCACTGGCTTTTATGTGCTGTGGCATTCTTGCCAGCTAGGCACACCTACAAGCCATAAATATAATGTTTTGAGACTATGAGCGTTTTGGGGAGCATTGCGTACCTCTTTGCCAGGGCATAGTTTGGATGCTTGTAGAAGAATTAGAGTTGATGTCTGTCTCTGACTTTAGAAGTTCATCCACGTGGGAAAATTGACCTCAGGTCTAATAACTGGCTGCTTGGTGAGGTCAGCTTCTCAGCACTGTATGTTATTAGGCTTTTGTTCTTGTTTCAAAGTTCCTTGAGACTTCTGTTTCGATCCCAAGTTATTTTCTCATTGTTATATGTCAATGCTGGGGACCAAAACCAGGATTTAGGTGTTGGCATTCCAGGGAATGTCCATGTACAGACTATCATAGAAAATAACATTGAAAGAAGAGTCACCTTGGTTGCCCCAAGGCTCTATGTGGCAAACTTAGGAGTATAGTCCTTGCCCTAAAAATCTCACCACTGTATGAGGGTCCAACAGTGATTATAACAACTCAAGAGAGTAGCAGACAGGGCACGTACAGGTTTACTCTGTGCACAATTAAGTGGGCTTGGATCCCATGAAAAGGAAATACGTCTGTAGTTCTGATGAGAACCCTCCCCACACTGTGTTCACCTCAGTTTATATATATCAGCAAAACTGAGACTTGAAGAGAATTGAAATGGGGCAGTTTGAGAAGACTCTTCCTCGTCTGTACCAGGTTGCTAGGGAAGGCAGAAAAAAGGTTGTCCAAGGAGAAGGCTCTTCAGTACACAAGAAGTTTCAGCTTTCTGAGGAAATGAAGCACAGAGCCTGTTTCTCAAAAATCTCTACCAGACATGAAAACAGAATTTCACTGATTGGTTAAAGCCCTCTGTTTCTCCAACTCTTATGTCTATAGTCTGGTTGCCCTGGGGGGAGAAACTGTGTTCATCACCTAATAGGTTAAACACAGGAGATAAGATATGATTGATGGATCAGAGATAACTTTTCCAAATTATTTAGTACCAGTGTAATGTCCTGGAATAATGCACAGGAACCCTGTAAAGAACAGCATCTTACAAATGCCAAGTAAAACAGAGACTGACCACGGTTTTAAATGGTCCTGTGACCCTTTTGGCATGAGTCATGGAAATGGCCTGGGACCTTGGCCAAATGCCAGTTCAGATAGTCTTGTGAGTGCTGAGGTAGGACGATAAATGCAGCGAATATAAACTGGAGTGCTTTGAAGGGAAAGATGCTGAATAAGCAGTTCGTGCTAATGTTTGGTCTGTTGCCTGTACTCTTGGTCCTTCCACCTGTTTTGAAGTTGGTTGTCATTTTACTCTGATTAATGTCTTTGCAGCCTTTGTAATATACAACTTTCTCAGCCTCTGCTATGAGTACTTGGGAGGGGAGAGCTCCATCATGTCTGAGATCAGAGGGAAACCAATTGAGTGAGTATTTAATTGTGCTTAAAGCATGACGCTCTCCTCCTTCTGTACCCATCTACCATGCCTCTATCCCTACCCTGAAAAACTGTGTCAGGTGGCAAATGTCTGCTGGGACTGGCAGCATGGATGGTGATGATTTACCAGTACCCTGCTCTGAGACACATTCCGCTGATTGCATCCTCTTAGGTGAGCTGGACAGATTCACATCTTTTCTGGACACCTTCCTGCTCCTTTGTTTCTTTTCTTATTCCCTTCTCCTCCTTTAAATCTTTTCTGTATTCAGTTGGTTGTATGTGCTTCCTCTAGGATCTGTGTTTCTCCCCATGATATTCAGTTAAAAAAAATTTGGAGTGTGGAGTCAGGATGTCGTTTTAAACACATCTCAGAAAGACAGTATGGCTGTAACTGTAATCATGGTTGGAGAAAGCACCAGTCTTAAAACTTTGCTATGGAGAGGTAGACAAAGAGGGTAGGAATCTTGCACTCTCACCCAAATCTTGCTTCTGAACCCTGTCATCTTGTGTTGGCTCTTTCAGGTCCAGCTGTGTATACGGGACTTGCTGCCTGTGGGGAAAGACCTATTCGATTGGATTCCTGAGGTTCTGCAAACAGGTATGGGCTGGAGGAACTGTGCCATCCTCTAGAAATAAGTGAAGTGTGTGTGGGTGGCAATGGTGCCTTTTGCTGCTGAACTTCTGAGATGAGCACTCCTTTGAAGGGTTTTATAATATCGTTTTGAGAGGCCTGTAGACTGCTGAGAAGAGAGGGTGTTTCGAGGTTGGTTGGTTCATTTGTTTTGGATGATCTTAACATTTTCTACTTGACCCTGCATCAGGAAGGCCTTAGCAAAAGACCCAGTTTATCTCCTGGATCTGATGTTAGCCCTGAGAAGAAATTCTGATTTCTTGTTCCCTTTCTGGATTGCAGAGGTCCCAGCTTTAAGAAATTGATGGCTATGTTGTGTTGCAGACACCCCACAGTTGTGTAACAGCCTCCTGAATTCCCAGTGCTGCTGTTGTGGTTTGGAGTTGAGGAGGGGGTGGGGGTTAAGCGTGACACAACACTTTGTAGGAGGAACCGAGTATTGCTCACCACGTGTGTCTGTCTGTGCTGAATTGGGTATGTTGAGGGGGAGGGAGTGGGGGAGATCTAAACCTTGATACAGCCCTTGTCTGCTCGTCCCAGGTCAGTCACCTCTGGCTGCCATGAAACAGCAGGTGAGTTTCAAGGCTTTGCTCACTTGCTGAAATGAGCACATGAGGTTTCTCTGGAGACAGCATGAGGCAGGTCTGGTTCTTTGAAAGGGTTCAGGTCACTGTAATTCCAGTCACTGGGTCTAGATATCTGCCCTGGCTTCTCCTCCACATCATGCCACATCATCTGTGTTCTAGCAGTATGCAGGAAAATCAAAGGTACAATGCAGCATCATAATAATATCCAGTGTTAATCTCTGCAGCGCAATTGGCCTTTTTTGAAGGCCAACCTTTTTCTCCGTTCTATTTGTCTCTGTCACATGTTCTTTCCTCATGGCTTTCCTGTTTTCTTCCCTGATACTTTATTTTCTAAGCTGCTTCCAGTACGCTGCTTCACCTGTTTTTCGTGGGCTTCATTTGTACACCCCGTGTTTGATTTGATGCGTTATCTATTCTTTTTGCTCCTAATGTTAACTTTTGCCGTTTAAATATGTCATAAGTAAACATGACATGCATCAAGATAAATGAGTGCTGGAGAAATAATTTCCCTTAGACCTCTTGTTTCTCATGTCCCACAGCCTCTGGCAGTTTTCTCCACATGAGTTGCACCTGGCTGTGTTTGGAAACTTTTTCACAACAATGAAGACTAGAAGCACTTTTAAGGGGCGGGGGCAGATTCTGCCTGCTTCCACAAATCCTCAGCTCACTCAGTAACTCAAGCTGAGGTGGATATTTTGCTTGTCCTTTGCTGCTGTCTGGCAGAAATTCTTCTAGTCAGGCCTGCCCTTCTCAAGCTGCTAACTCTGCTGTGGAGGCTGTGAGGGAGTTGTCTTGCAAAGGGATGTTTAAGTACTTACGTCCTCCTTGGCTCGAGCTTAAATGTTGTCTTGGTGAGAAATCTTCGGCACCAAGACTCACTTTCTAGTACTTCTAGACTTCCAGGATTGCCGAGGAAGGCCTTTCGAGGCAAATTCCTGGGTAGGCTGGTGCAAAAGGGCAACAGAGCTGATCTGTGCAGTATCCACCATCGTGGTGACCAGGAAGAGGAATGTGCTGGAAGGAGTATATTGCCCATTTTGTCCCTGCTGTCAGCATCTTCAGCACTCCTGTCGCCTCCCGCCATCACCTGCCCATTTTCTGCTCTTTCCAGTCCCTTTCATTCTGAAGGAATCTCTGTGTTATAACCATTCCTTCTTTCCATCTTCACCCCCACCCCAAGCTGTTCTCAGGCAGGTGCCTGCGGTGGGTCAGTCAGTCTGCCTGCGTTGCCTGCAGCTCTCCAGCGGTCGGGTGGTGTGTTGGTGGCTGCAGTGTAAACTCTGAACAGCTTGTTACCTTAAAGATGTCTTGATCAAGATTCTTTGCTGGCTCTGTGTCTGGTGACCCTCACAGATCAGTCACACACATCCATGTGCTTCCTGTATGCTGTGGCGTCTTCTAGGGAAGCAACTAAAAATAGGACGTGGTGGTTTGGATTGCAGGGAAATGGTTAAAACATCCCCAGATTGGAAGGAGGGGAAGCTCGGAGGACGGAGTTGTTTACCAATTAGTGTGACCTTTTCCAGTTCACATATTTACAGTGACTCACTAACTGGCATGTGCTGGGGTTTTTAATCTCCTTGAAGTCTTATGACCACTAACAAATTGCATCGTATCCAAAGCAATTATTCCTGTTTGGTTTACCTTCTTTCCATACACAGCCCTCCCCACATGAGTGCAGATGCGCACCTGCCCGGGCTCTTCCAGCCTCCTTCAGGGAAACACCGGTGACGTTTTTAGGGTCACAACCCTCCATTCTCTTAGGACCTTGAAGTTCAGCGTCTTCAAAAAGATGAAGACTGGTGTGGCTTTGAGAGAGGAGTTGTCCCAAAAGGAGCAGTGATTTATACTGGCGGAATAGATAGAGTTGATCCCAAGTGCCACGGAGTCTTTGGGGAGATTCAGTAAAGGTCGTGTGGCTGACAACAGAATACCTCTTAATTTCTGTCTGGCAACACACATCGCTGTGTGTACAAAATGCCTTAATATGATGGCAGTTGTCAAAATTCCTCCTCAGAGAGCTGTGTTCCCCTCCTATCCAGGGGACCTTCTTGCCTAGCTTTATGGCAACTATAGATTGGAGTCCCTTCCCCAGTATCCCTTTGTTAAACTTGCTATGTCCGTATCATAGCACACTGTAGGATTTTTTTGTTTTTCATGCTGTTACCGTGCATAAATGTGCTGCAGCACAATCTATGAAAAACAGCCTTGTAAGAGAGCATCTGAGCAGCTTCTACAAGGAATCTACAGAGAGGCTTTTCTTCCCATTTTTGACAGATCTTTTTTTGAATCATCTTTATCTCCTTTTGGGTGCTGCAGTCCTCAAGCACAACCAATTAGCAAGTGGTGGGGTCAGACTCCTTGTTGGGGATGGATTGTGTTGCCTTACTGAGGCGTCCCAGCGGACACGCCATCATGGTGTTGGTTTGGGAACTTGGCCTCTTGCACTGCCTGCCTTCTCATTCCCCCTCTCTCATTCCTGTAGGCCACCCTGCAGTTCTGTGTGGTGAAGCCCCTCATGGCGATCAGCACGGTCATCCTTCAGGCCTTCGGCAAGTACCAGGATGGTGACTTTGAGTAAGTTTGTTCGTCTAGCATGCAACCCTTGGCTGCCCCTTCTCTGTCCAGCTGTGCTTATGGTCCGTGTGTGTGCTGGACCATGGGAGAAGACAGGGGAAGAACATGGGCTGAATATGCAAGTGAGAAAAGAGGGCAGGGGAAAGCCTGTTCGTTTCAGCACTTTTCTACCTCAGTTTCAGGGAGGGAATGGGAACAGGGAGGCAGGAAGGAAATGGAATCTTAGAACTCCCCAGTGACAGCGGCAAGGGGAAAAGATCATGCTAAAATTTCAGGCATTCATCTCTCTTCTCTTTTCAGTGTAACCAGTGGCTACCTCTACGTGACCATCATCTACAACATCTCTGTCAGCCTGGCATTGTATGCCCTCTTCCTTTTCTACTTCGCCACACGTGAGCTGCTCAGTCCCTATAGCCCAGTCCTCAAATTCTTCATGGTGAAGTCTGTCATCTTCTTGTCCTTCTGGCAAGGTGAGCTGCTTTTCGCTTCCCTTGGTAGGCACAAAGAGCTCTCTGCAGGGGCTCAGACGCTAGAGTTGATAGAGCAGATGCTGATTAATAGCCAGAATGTCTTTCTGTATTATTATTATATTTGTTTTATAGTCTTTCATTGCTTTTCTCTGGGAAGCCTGTTTTGCTCATTTTAATCTTTGTTTCTGCGTTCCTGAACCCTCACTATCCCTGTGCGTGTGCATGTGCTTATCTGCCTGGCAAAATCAGCTGTTTGGATGAAGAGTCCTTTGCATTCCTGGAACAATCATAAAGCATAAGCTGCCAACATTTTATCTGCATGCTGCCATTTCATTGATTAAAGTGGCACCTCTAAAAATTTTTAATACTTTTTTTAGTGCTCTATATATAAAATTTTAATGGTATGTCTGTGATTCATGTGAAGCAGCAAGCTGGCTGAATGCAGTGTGTGCTGCCACAGAACCACCACCGGGCGGAAGGACGTTCAGAATATATACACATGATGCGGAGGCACATTCAGAAAGCTGAAATTCCACCTAAGCTTAGTGCTTCTTACTAATTGGCTCTAAGCATTTCCCTGTTCAATGCCCTACTTAGGTTTACTGAGTTGCACTTCAAAGACTAATTGAGTAGGAACTTAGGTGGAATTTAGGCTGTTGGGGTATGGCCCATCCTCCCGGTCTACAGACAAACTAATAAGCTGTCTGGTTTATCATCTTGAGCCATCTGGTCACACGCATTCTGCCTTCTCTGGAATTCTTCAGCCACCTGGCTATGGACAGGGAGAAACATCTTTCTTGCAACGGTGTGTCAAAACTACTTTATGTTTAAATGGAAAGCTCTGTTACTTCAATTTTTGCTCTAGCTGGTAGAAATGCTGAGATCACAGAAGTGCTTGCAGAAATACCTGACTGCGTCTTACCCTTTTGGACATAAGTCCCGCACCAGATAGTTCCGCAGATTACTTGTCAGTTGAGAGTAGAAGAGGGGCAGTATTCAAACATTCTTTGCTTAAACACATTTGTCTCATTTATTCCTCCTTTCTCTGTTGTATGGGTGAGTGCGGGTGGGAGTATCTAGCCTGCTCTGTTTGTAGCTCGTATGTTAAATGGGTTTGCGTCTAGGACATACGGCTATTTCCATTCCTTACAGTTAGTATGCAATCATGTTTTCTGCACATTTACATGAGCTTTTTGCTTTGGTTAGGGATGCTGTTGGCCATCTTGGAAAAGTGTGGTGCCATCCCCAAAATCCACTCTGCCAACGTGTCTGTGGGTGAAGGCACAGTAGCTGCTGGGTATCAGGACTTCATCATTTGCGTGGAGATGTTCTTTGCAGCCATTGCCCTGCGCCATGCCTTCACATACAAGGTGTATGTGGACAAGAGACTTGATGCCCAAGGTAGGAAATACGCCAGCGCATATGGCTTGTCTATTTGGTAGTGAGACTGGGCGGAGACTGGTCCCTCTGGCAGCCAACACACTGATATGACTCCCAACCTGAATACTTGGAAAACATCACATCCCCTCCTCCGTGGTGTCTGAACAGATTCATTGTGCAACGGCTCTGCAGGGCAGAAACCTTGCCTGAATTGCATTGTTCCCTTTTCAGTTCCCCAGTATGCCACCCACGACAGCTTGTTGCAGACCTGAGGGCTGCAAGAAGTTGCATCCTTTTGGTAGAGTGGGTTTGTCCTTCTTCCTGTCTCCCCCAAGGGGAACTCCATTGCTCCAGATTGTGCAACAGACTGAAGGCAGGAGGGACACGGACTGAAACAGGCTCTGTTTTGAATCTGGCTCAGGAAGATGAGGCTGTGCTTTGGCAATATGTTTGGCTTGGAGGAGGATGATCTTCCTATAATGACTTTGTGAGGGCTGGGCTGCTGGAAGTCTCATTCTGGGGAAGAGGGAGATGGATGTTGTCTCTGGGAAAAGGAGGATTCTCGTGCCCAGTGTATGCGAATACATTCAGTGTTCTCCAAATAAAGGGGGTCCTTCCTGCTGGGGGGAGTCTGTGCTGAGGTGTGGGAAGACAGCAGCCCTTGGGCAATGTTCATGTAGGTGATCAGTCCATCCCAACCATCCCCAGAAGTTTTGGAAGGACAATGGCCACAGCTGGGGGAGATGAGACCTGTGGGTGATGAAAGGGTAAACTGCTGGATGGTACAGTGGGGCATGTTTCGGTGGTGGGTCTTGTACAGTTCTTGTTATTTCCTCTCTCTCTTTCTTTCTCTGTTTCTCTGTCCTCCCTTTTATCTCTCCCTTGCTTTGGCCACTGATCCCTGATGCAGCTGTTCCATCATATGGGCCATACGGTAGGTACAGCATGCTCTGTGTTTGTCTCTGTTGGTTTTTAACTGGGATGCTGTTCTGTCCTAATTCCCACCCTGCCTACTGCCTGCTCTGTCCCTTGTTCCCCCTTCCTTGTAGGTCTGTAACTCGGCTGCCTCACACAGCTGCTTTAGGCTTTTCTGGATCATAAGCTGTAAAACAGCGCTGTGAGCAGTGGCGTAACACTTAGCTTTAGAGCATTTCTGTCAGGACTGTGTGAATCTCTCTCCAAAGAGTTGCACCAGCTCTCAAAGGAGCCGGTTTGCTCTCTCACCTCAGCCTCCCTTCACTCTCATAATTGCCACAGATGATCAGCATGCTTTGGTTGTCCGGGGAGCTCATCCCCAGGACTAAGCAGAGCCAGAAGCCCACACTGGAAACAGGACCTAGAAGCCATGAGAAATGGCGACTTCTAGAAGGACACACAGCCTTCCTCTGTGCTCAAAACTTGGGTGGGACAATCTCCAACTGTTGCTTCCTTCACGGTATCACTGTGACACCCTCCAGTTGGGGAGTGATTCTGCCTCTAGTACTGCCTGCTCCCCTACTTTCCTTCCTTTGTGCTGCTTTCCACTTTTATGATCTCTTTCCTGTGGGCATTTTGATACTGGCTATCGGTCTGATTTCCAGTGAGTGGGAATGGCAAATGCCATTTCTCCTATATATTTAGAATTGCCTTACTTTTTGTCTGAAACCCTTTACAGGAGCACCTCCCTACCTGACTGTCTTTGTTGCACACCCAAGCCAGCACAGGTAGTGTGTAGTGGAGGCTGTCACTGTGCGTATGTCCCATTCTCATGGCATGTCCCCCATTTGGTGCTGAGGTGGATTCACTTGGCTAGCAGTGGCCAGATTTAGGAGCACTACTGATAAAACATCATAGAATCATAGCATGGTTAGAGTTGGAAGGGACCTACCTTAAGGATCATCTAATTCCAACCACTCCTGCCATGGGCAGGGACACCTCCCACTAGACCAGGTAGCTCAAAGCCCCATCCAACACGGCCTTGAACACTTCCAGGGACGGGACATCCACAACATCTCTGGGCAGCTTGACACCATTTATGTGGCATTTCCTCAGCAGCTGCTTAAGGAATTCTGTAAAGTGAATTCTGCACGATCTAGAAGTGCATGTTCCCTTTTCTTCTTACCTTTGTGTTAAAGGGTGTGGGGGAAAGCAGCAGTATTCTTTACTTGTCCCCCCCGTCTTATCCAAACAGGTCGCTGTGCTCCCATGAAGAGCATCTCCAGCAGCCTCAAGGAGACCATGAACCCCCACGACATTGTCCAAGATGCGATCCACAACTTCTCCCCAGCCTACCAGCAGTACACCCAGCAGTCAACGCTGGAGCATGGTCCACCCTGGCGCAACGGCAGTCATGTTATCTCACGCTCCCATAGCTGTTCGGGTGCCCGCGACAACGAGAAGACCCTCTTGCTGAGCTCTGATGATGAATTCTAGGAGGCGAAACTGCCAGCCCAGGCTGTCATTTTCCTTCTTTTGTTGTTTTTTATTTTTTTTAATTTATTGAAGCAGAAACACGCAAGTCATATCACTTCCTAGAGAGTGCAGATTGCAGAAGTGGGCACTTCCATTAGCTTTTGTGGGTACGGACATGATGAGCAGTGCGGAGGTGGGGGAATGGCCAGGACTCCATTATCGAGCCCATTCCTTACAGCAGCAATGGACTGGAATTAATTGAAGCAAAGCTCCAGGGTTTGGGGCTCTGGCCTTCCACACCTGCCCAGCTTGGTGTGGAGCATGACTGGCCAGTGCCTGGAGCTGTGGCCAAAAATGTTTTTGCTTTTTTTTTCCAACTGGACAACCCGACTGCTGTTCCCTAATGGTTGATGTAGGCACAGTTTTCTCCCCCAGCTCTCTGGTACTAACATCTCGGTGATCCTTGGGAAATGGGATTAGGATACAGCGATAAGCATTCCTGAGGACCAGATCAGAGATTGGTCTCTCTATAGCCATTGCCTTGAATGCCTAGTAAGGAACATCTGCCCCCACCCTCCTAAGCACCTGGTTGTGCAGTCCTGTACTTGAGTGAGCGAGGGGGAAAAGGACAGGACTTTCTTCTTGTTCCTGTGCTCCCTGCATCCCCCCTTGCTCCCCATCAAAGCTGATGCTCGTTGAAGCTCAGCAGAAATGGAATTACCGTCTCACAAGGGCAGGGTTTTCAAATCACCAGGTATCCAAGCTTCCCATCTCCCCTGCATTCCTGTGGCAAGAAGCCTCCTTGGAGCATCTGTCTCCTGCTAACAAGACTGAGGACTGGCCGTGATAGGTGGTGGAACTTTGTAGAGCTCTGGCCCTTTCATCCCTCTTTGGGAAAGGAAGATAGGTAAACACTAAAACTTTTTTTTCATCTTGTTTCCTGTTCCCCACCAACATAACTGCCCTTCTTAAAGGTGTGGATTGCACCAGGTAGCTGCCAGAGCAGGTCCTGGTCTCTGGCAGGTAGCTTTCCCCATGCTTGCCATCACTGACTTCCCCTGCGAGCTGCACAAGTTTTGCCCTTAGGCTGGAGTATTCAGGAAGGGATGCTGCACACTCCTTTGCTTTTTATCTCCATAGATGTTCTGGGCCAAACTGGAGCAGACTTGAAACCTGACATGACCTGGCTGGTTAAAATTGTCCCCTTTAGTTTCCCAGGCAGCAGTTCCTGCTGCTGCTGCGCGTTTCGCAGACCCTGCAGCAACTGCAGTGCTATCAAGGGTGGAGCCAGCATCCATGGGAGTGGGAAAGGAAGCTTCCCCTTGCTTTTGTTGGGTTTTGGATTGGCCCCTAGGTATTCAGTGGAGCCAAAATAAAAATGATCCTGCTGTAGATATATCCAGGGACCAGAAAATGCCTCTTGCTTGCTTAAAATTCTCTAGAGGAGAAGAGGGGAGCACACTTAAGTGCCACAGATCAGATGTCCTTACCCCCAAGCAGGAGGCAAAATGGAGAGGTTGGAGCCAGCTGCTCTGTTCTTCTTGGCTGTAGTTTCTCTGTTTCTCTCCGCTTGATGACTACCCTGCCATCAGCAGACCTGCGCGTTTCCAGATTGCCCCTCATTGCTCTCCTGGGGGAGCTGGGGTGTGGTTTACTGCCTGGAGTTTACCTTTCCTCTTGTATCCTAATCCATGTGCTTGCTCATTCACTTTCTCAGAAGCGACTGCGAGCAGAGAGCACCTCATTTCCTCAGCAGCCCTGCCAGAAGTGTGTGGTCAGGAGTGGGGGCAAAACGGCTTGAAGAGAGGCAGGTTTGCTCCCTGCTTTGAGGATAAGATAAGTGAAAGCTTAAGGACAGTGTCTCCTTCCGCACTTGTGTGTCTGGGGGGATGGTGAAGCAGGTGGGAGCAATGGTGCTGACTCTTGAGGGAGCTGGAGGCAGGGTCAGTGGATCCAGCAGCTTCTCTGCTGCTGGATTTCCCCATTCGCGCACACGTCCTGCGATGCCATGCGGTTAGTTACTGCTTTTCCTAAATATGTCGCTGCTTAAGTGGACATGCAAGCGCTATCTGCCAGGCTTTGTGTGGGCTTGGTGTAAAACTCCTTTTCCTCATGTCATAAGCCACTTGGAAAGCAGGGCTGAAGGTTGAGTGGGCTTTCCTTCCATCTTCCGTGGCTTTAGTGTGAGGTACTTATGTTAAATGTCCCCTCTCTCTTAGGAAAGTGGAGGATGGGACCTGATCTCTTCCTCCCCATTCCTTGCATTTGCAGGCCTTGATGATGTCCCAGTGTCACTTAATTGGTGACCGTCCCCAGTCTTCGTGGCTAAGAGCTGAAATCTCTGGGCTTGCCATGTTGAGCTTGAAGATGATCCAGGTTGGGGAAGCATTTTTTAAAACTTATTTTGAAATGTATGCTGCATATATATGCTATGCAGAGGATCTGGATATTCTCAAAGCTTCCTGTAGTGGTTTAAAGTATAACCTTTTTGCACTAGCTGCCTTTGGAAAAGCCTGATGAAGAACTTGCGCCCAAACAACAGCCAGCTGCTGAGCGTTATAATTTTTTTATATATATATATTTTTTTTAACACCACACAAAATCATCTCTGAGCTTCCTGCTCTCCCTCACAACAGGTAAGTGCCAGAGCAAGGACTGGCTCTGAAGCTGCTCTGGCTTGAAGGAACCAATATAAGACCCAGAGCTTGAGACCAAGGAGGCCAGGGCATCCATGGTCTTGCAGGTCTGCTCGTTGTAGCCCAGGGCCCCAACAAACGCGTTGGTTCCAGGAGTAGGCCCTTGGAGCTGCTCTCCCTCACCTGCTTCCCTTCTCCTTCCTTTCTTCCTTCCTTTTTGTTTACCATGTAACATACCCATGGGATTTGTTTATTATTTTTCCATGTAGAGTAGTTCTTTGTATATAAACGACTGAAAAAAAATGTATGATAAATAAGACAGAGTCACCTAGTTTTGTACCTATTGTGTTTAACTGATGTGAGCTCAGCAACAAGCCGCTCTCTCTATTTTGGTCTTTGTGATGTTATACTCTGCAGAAATGAGCAAATATGATGACAAATAAAAATATAGAGATAATATAGATTGTACTTAAGCTGCCTCTGCGTGGTGATGTCTGGGTGGTTTCTCTGAACTGATTTTGAGCTTTTGCTCGTTGCAGGGGCTGAATCTTGGTGGGTCAGTGTGTCCTGTTCTCCTAGTCCTCTTCTCAAGAGGAAAGCTTGATGCTCTCTGTGTATGCAGGAGCTGACAGCAGCAGTGCTACAGCAGCCTGGTCCTGAGACATCACTGATGGCCCAGGGCAGGAGCAAAAACCAATTGCCAAAAACTTGGAGTAGAGATGAGTCCCGGTCTTGGGTGCTTGGTGCAAAACACCAGTGAGAGGAAGGGGGCTGCTTTCTCTGACGTGGGCCCCAGCAAACAGCAGCTCTGGGCTTTTCTTCCATGAGTGGTGGTGGGGCTGGGGCAATTTGCAGTGGCAAGAAAGAATGAGAATGTAAAACCGGGAACCACCACGTGAGTGCTGCAGGCTGCCGGGAGGCTGGAACCTGGCTCGCCTGGGTGTCAGGGGAACATGCTCATTGCTTCCACCTCTGCTCTGAGGAAGGGTGGCTTTTCCCCCCAGGGAGGAGGTCAGGCTTCACCTCTGGGTAAGGCGCCTGCCACACTTCCTTTCCCTTCTCCTGCCACCCACAGACATGAGCTCCCTGCTTTCCTCCTCACTGTTCCTGAGTCAGGCGGTGAGGTCACTCTGCAGGGAAGTTTTTGGGTAGAGCCGCCCTGATTGCACCTGCCTCTCCTCCTGCACCAGGTCTGAGGGCAGCCTGGAGGGAATTTTTCTAGCAAAAAATATCATCTTTCCTAAGAAACGCTGATTCAGCACAGCTGAACTACTCCTAAAAGCAAGTGCTTTGGGAGGTGATGTTCAGCATTAAGCTTGCTTACTGACCCCTTTTCTTCCGGAAACTAAATCTGTGTTTGTTCTAAAAAGTTGTGAGCTGTTCCCTATCCAGTCTTTTTTGGGCACATTCTTGAATGTGTCCTGCAGCAAAGCTAGAGGGAGCTAGAAAACCTGGTCTCACTGAGACACAGCCCTGTCCTGAAGTTCAAGAATGACCAAACACACTCCCACTGTGGAAAAAAAAGAACTTTCTTTATTTGTAAAGTCTACAAAATACAGAGGAGTCGGGTAGGACACATACTGTAAGTCAGAAAATAAATAAGTATTTTTTTTGCTCTATATAAGTATAAGATAAAATGTGATTTGCATATATAAAATATAAAGTACGGCTCTGTACCAACATCCTGGCTGTGCCGAGAGGCGGAATGGCAAAGAGGACGTGAAAATAACTTATGTTCGTGCAATAAATAAACCCAAGAGGAGTTGGGGTGGGGAGATACTAATCACAGTGCCCTCTCCACGAGCGGTGGGCACCTCTCTCCGGGGAGGGATGGAGGCTGCAGCCGAGGGCGGCTGGCGTGGCAATACCCAGGCAGGGGCAGAAAGGGGTGGGAAAACCATCTACAGCATCAGATGCCAAGATGTTACCTCCCCCATGCTGCCTGTATTTAGCAAACCCAACTCTTCTCCAGCATTTCAGCCTGCTGAAGAGCCGGTTGTCCCACACTGGTGTCCAAGCTGGAGGAAAAACAAAGGGAGGAGCCTACCTGCCTGCCAGGCACCTCCCAGGAGCAGGGATGCTCTCCACCCCCGCTTCCCGCCTCCTGCACCTCCACCCCTCTCTCTGTCTCTGCAGCTCTGGCTCTCGGGGGGCCAGGAGCACCTTTCTATGGGCTTCGTAGGCGGTGGGGCGCCGGGGAGTGCTTGGTGGGGCTGTACAAGCCGGCCTGTGCTGAGCAAAACAGTGTTTATCTCTGCTCCAGCTGCCTCCGCTTCCTTCCTGCTGGTGCCGCTGCATTTTGGAGACACCCGGGGCCGGCCAGGCTGAGCGTCCCATAGGCAGGAAGAGGCGTGAAGGATGTGCGTGATGGAGAGAGATAAAACAGCACCACTGCTTCTCCCCTTTGCATTCGACAGCCTGGGCTGACCCGCTCACGTCCCCCAGCACCCCCCTGCCCAATGGTCCCTCTTCCATCACTGTCACCTCTGGGCTCCCCCCCCAGCACCACAGGCTGCCACGGCACTTTCCCACTCCGCTCACCCTTACCAGGTACCAACCTGCAGCCACTTTCTCTCCCTCTGACCTGCTACCTTCCCTCGCCATCTCCATCCCCACAGGTTCCAGCCACGCTGCCACCTCCCTCCCTCCCTGCTCCAGCCATGGTCCAAGTTGCAGGGCCAATGCCAACCCCCCTCTCCATCATATCCCTTCTGCCCCTCGCTGCAAAACCTCTCTCCCCGTTTCCCTCCCTGGCACCT